AATCTGACATGATGGAACAAATATGAATTCATTGTCTACTGCACTTAAATGAAAGTGTCTAACCCTTTAGACACGTTGAGGGGGATTTAATGAAAAATATAAGGATTTAGGGGAAAATATAAACACATACTTCATGTGAAAAAACAGTGAATAAAAAAGTAGAGGCACTATGCAAATCCTAATTACCTTTAGAATTTTTCAAAACACCAAGAGAAACTATATACCATCATATAAATTATTAATGGCTTGTTATTATTTTTAAAATGGAAATTCTAATAGTAAACCCAAACCAAGCAAACTTCTAATTACAAATACAATGAAAGTATGTCACAGAAATGAAACTGTTTACTGAGCAAGTCAGTTACAGAGTCCAAATTAACATCATGAAAAAAGTGAAGCAATATTTTCCATTTAAATCAACCCAGCAAGCTAACTGCTCACTTTTGCTTAATATGCCCCCAACTGAGCTGATTAAAAATATCTATTAAATAAGGTTGAGGTAAAGGAATACCTTATAGCCAAAATGGCAATTTACAATCTAATCAAAACAGACTGATATGCTGTAATAGACCACAACTGGGTGAGGGTAACAGATTGGTGTTCTCCTTGCGTTCTCTCAAGTGGGTGTGACGTGAAAGCAAAAACCGTCACCTTGTTTGCATGTTTAATGTTTGTAGATAAAATGTATAGGACAAGTTCAACATAAAAAGGGGAGGGTGAAGGATCTTGTATGACTATAAGGTTTCTACATTTTGTGTGAAGTGGTAAAAAACAAACAAAGAAACTAGGTAAAAGTTTGAGAGAGATATATGATATATATAAGAAATATATATGATATATATGACATATAAATGATAGATATGATATATATGTACATACAAGATATATATATAGCTATATATCTTATATATATATAGCTATATATATATCTTGTGTATATATATATAGATCTTGTAATCCCTAAAGCAACCAGGAATAAAATAATAAACCAAAAAAATGGAATATTACAAAATTCAAATAATCCCAAAAAGAAAATGGAAAGGGAAGAAAAAAAGTAGTAGACAAATTCAAACATATCAAGTTCCATTAAATGCAAATGGTCTAAACAAATCACTTAAAAGAAAGGGACTGTTTAGACTGGTTAAAGGGGAAAAAAAGCCCAAACATATGTTGTCTTTAAGAATCCCATTTTAAATATGGTATAAATAGGCTAAAAGTAGAAAGATGGAAAACACGTACTAAGTACTGCTCATCGAAGAAAGCAAAGGATGAAAGGAGACAGGCTGTGTGAAGCGCCGGCACGGGAAAGCAGACGCACACTGTCCTGGTGCTGACAAAGCACCTGTCCTGGTGCTACTGCAGAGGGGACGACCCACCGTTCTACAGGGTGGAAGTAGCATTGACCAGGAAGACCAAGCAGCCCACACGGGCACACACCCCGTGATGTCACTGACAGACACAGGCAGAGAAGACGGACAGATCTGAGGGAGGTAACAGACGAACCTACAACCACAGCTGGAGGTTTTGATACTCGCTCGTCAAGACCTAAGAGAACAACTTAGGAAGAGAATGACTATGCAAATATGAAATCTGAGCAATCGTATAACCGCCTTCAACTACTGACAGTTACAGAATTCCGTCCCCCAAAGTACACACGGTGCAGTCGCCGAGAGAGACGTGTCCCAGACCACGACTCATCTGCGGCAGCACCGAAAGACTGAAGGGGTGCAGAGTATCTCCTCTGACAACGAGGAGGTGCAAGATGAACTAAGGCTCAATCTTCAGTCAACAGAGATGTGGTGTGTATTTAAAAATGAAAATATTTTAGATCTCATAGTTACCAGTTACATATCATGTGAAGTTTCTAATTACTCTGAGAGTCTCAGACAGCTGAAATTCAAGCTTGGCGATGTCTGCCCTTCTCATAAAACAAAAGAAAATTAATCTCAGAGTAATGTTGAAATGCATTTTCTACTGATAAAATATTAAACCAGTCTTGCTTATTGTCCTGTTCATAAAATCCCTCCAACATTTAGGAAATCCTCAGTCGAAAGTTCTGTGGCCGTCGGCAGCCTTGGGTCTCGGACAGCTGGTTTCCGACCCCGAAAAAGACCAGCGAGACACAGCAGAGCCACTGCGCATGCACGTGGCCTGACTTTCACACGGGCTGATTTTGCTAGTTCAGTGCAGGGTTCTGGTGCTTCTATCTGAAGGCATATTTTACAAACTTACTGAATCTGTATGTCAGTACCAAACTAACTGGCGTTATTATCCTTAATTACATGTTTTATTTCGCTGTTTTATTTGACGGGGCCTGATGAGGGATAGAGGCCTGAATTGTAACATCAGACAATATAGATCCTATTTATAGTAAAAACACATACACACTCTTTCTGAACATTTTTGAAAAGCTCTTGAGTTCCAGAATAGGAAATTACAAATTATACTGAATTGTGAGGTCTTTATGTCTTCATTTTAGGAATCTCAGAACCGGCGAAAACAGGAAAGCAGAACTTTACAACTCCATGCTCACAGGAGTGAGTCTGAGACTAGAAAGGCCTTTGAAAGGAAGTGGAATTTTGCTTTTAATGTTTCTGACCTAGAGTAATTAAGTCTAAAAATAAAGGAAGCCCAGTACATAAAGACCTGTTCTTAGGTGCAGTCTGACTTCTTTTTGTATTGATTCGAAGACAATAATGCCTTTCACACTTTAATTACCTCAGATATTTGTTTTTTGAAAACGTAAACAGCTGACCACACTGCAACGCTTTTTTTTTTTTCTCTGAAGGAGAAACAAGACACTAATGGCGTGTGTGGGATAAAGGTGTAATTTAAAGCAAGGTTTCTGCAGCCGGGCACCCTGAGCCTGGGGCTGCAGGACAACTGTTTGCGGGGGGGGGGGGGGGCGCCCTGCGAAGTGGGGGGGGTGTCTAGAGGCATCCTGGCCCCTGCCCATCAGAGGCCTGCGGCCCTTGACGCCGCCCTGCCTCTCTGTTGTGGCAACAAAAAGTGTCTCCCAGCGTGGTCAGATGTTCCCTGAGGACCACCATCTCTGCATGGGAATGAATGATTTAAATCATTTTATTGAACAAAAAATCTGACATGTTCAGAAACTGTTTCTCATGAGGAATTTAAGTGAGAGTGATAGGGTCTACCACGGGGGCTCCCAACATGCTGTAATGGGAACTCCTCTTGCAGGCTTAAAGCTATGCTGGCTCCAGCCACATGCAGCTACAGAGGGAACATGCAGCTAGTGCGACTGAGGAACTCAACTTTTAATTTACTGACTAACTAGTGTTCAAATTCTCATGTGCCATACATGTAAAATACACATCAGATGTCAGAGATCTGGAATGAACAAAAGAATGTAAAATAGCACTTTAATCAGTTTGTACTAGTTACATGTTGAAATGATAATATTTTGGATTTAATGGGTTAAATAAAATATAGTATTCAAGTTAATTTCACCTGCTTCTTTTTCTTTTTTTTAAAATGTGGTGTCAAGAACATTTAAATTTGCTTATGTAGCTCATATTACATTTCCTGGGTTAGCAAGGTCTAACATGTTTGACGATCTGTCCAAAAAGCTGTTGACTAGGAAAACGTATAATATCAAAGAGTTACTATGAAGAATTAGCAACCAGGATCAGTCCAGTGAAACATTTTGATGATTTGTTTCACTAAGTCACCACAGCACCCACGAATAGTGTTGCACTTAGTGCGCATGGTGAATTCTGACCTCTCCTAAGTGTCTCTGGTTTCCAGTTCCACACGTGCTGGTCTGCAGTTCCTTTCGCTCTGGCGATGACATGGGATTCACCGGCTGAAACATGCCGATTCCCAGAATTGTATTGCCAGGGCTCTTCCACCAGACCCGGGTCATCCCACAACCCCACCTGCGTTCGGGCTGAAGCGGGCCTGTCCCTCCCTCCCCACTTTCCCCTTCCCGACTGCGCGGCCCTAAAGTCCGCGGCAAAGAGCAGGCTCTCCAGCCATTTCTGAAGACAGGCAGCTTCCAGCACAACTGGAACCCAATGGTCCTCGGCTCTCTCGCCCATACTGTCCAACCACTCCGCTCCTCTAGAGTGATATCAAAATGATAACTTTTTTGAACCTTAAATCTTACAATGAAAGTGTCATTTGGTTGTTCTCCCTCTTGCAAGTCTATTGACTGAGGTAAGATCTTGGTAGTGCATATAAAAAGGTCCTTGAAGATCTGTCTACTTCTCCTTTATACTAAGTTAATAAAAAATTAAGCAAAGCATTTGCATAAGCATATAGTGTGCTTGTAAGCATAAATGAAGAGCAAATGGAAAATCAGGTCGGGTGGCATAGCTCAGCACACATTATCTGCACACGCGCACGCACACACACACACACACACAGAATGTGGAAGCCCCACTTCAGAGCACGTGTTTAGAGCAAAAGAGAATGTGCAGATGCTAACTTAATAATGATAAAAAGCACTTTGACTTCAAAACTATACTAATGTCATGACTGGGCACTTTGTTAAATATACTTCTAGGTTGTCAAATCAAAATATTTATTAGCTAGCCAGTTCCATATTCCTAAAAGCTTATTCATATTACTTCTAAAACATTTTAAGTGTTGAAAGAATGCCACAAAACCCTTTTCCAGAGATTAGAACTCTGGCTTTACTAAAGTATGGAAAGAGTATGCTGGGTAGAGTCGCCAGTTCCTCTCTGGGGTGCAGGAGGGGAACCAGGGAGCCTGGACAGCGAGCAGTCTGCCAGGTCAGAGGGGGCGGGGTCCCACAGGCCGCGCGTGGGACAAAGGCTAGGAGTTCTGGGGAATGTTTTACCAAGAGGAAGAAGATTCCTCACCTGGCAAAACGGTGTAACTGCAAGGGAAAAAAAAAGTACCCTGATTTAAAGTATTTTAAACACAGAATTAAGCTGAAAGAACCTCTAGCAGGGACATCTGTTTACATGTTTCATGTCAGAGCGTTATCCTGAGCACGGGGAGCAATCACTACTTACCTGGGGGGAGCTGTTGGATAGATGATCTTGATGTGCTGGAACGTCAAATCTTGATTTAAAACCTGCTTGATCCACCTTCTCAGTCCTTGTCCAGAGTCACCTGATGAATCACAGAATCTAGATTAGCGTGAAGCGTTTTGACAGGAGTGTGTTGAAGAGCCGTCTGTAAATTTCATGTCATACAGAGGATGGAACAAGGAAGAAAAAAATAAACTCTCCATACTTAAAAATAACTGCACAGAAACTGACTTATCAATATGAACCAATCGGGAACCAAGAGGGAGAAATAACTTTGATTATTTTACTCCTAACTTCACCATTGATCACTTTAAAGACCTTGTTTGTTTAAAGGGACAAATCAATGGGGTAAATCAATTTTTCTAACTAAAAATTCTATTTCTTTTCTGATTTTAAAGTTATTTCTTATTTTTACTCTTAGAAATAGTAAATTCTTAAAGTGCGTATACGCTTTTGCAGTTGGAACAGCCTAAAACAATTTTCTTGGTAAAAACAATAAAATCCTTCGAAAGGGTTATCGAGCATGCATGTATTTATTTTTAACCTAAATAAATTAGCACTTAAATTTGATAACATGTTCCCATGACCTCAAATAACAAAAAAATCACCAAAATTCCTGCAAAAATTAGTGTAGGTGTATTTCCATAAAAAACTGAAGGAAATATAGGTCCATCTTATGTTGTCCTGGAGAGGAAATTTTGAAGGTAACAACCTTAATTTTTTAACCAACCAATTAAAAAACTATCGACTGGATACCTGTGAATGGAGGACACAGGTTAGTGAGAGAAACAGTCAGTCGGTGGATCACATGCACACATGTGAAAGACAAATGTAACCAGTGAAAACATGAGCCACCTGGTGCTGCCGGGGTCTGTGGATTCAGAAGTGACCCAGTCAAGGAGTTCGGGGCTAACTTCACTGGAATAAAAGCTCTGCAAGGCAAGGTTCATTTTGTGTTTTATCCATTGAGTTGTTTGTTCATTTAATGCCCGGGCATCCCACAGAGAGCTGCTGAATGGTTTGCCCTCGAATTTCCGGGATGGTGAAAGTGAGTACAGAAGGAAAGAGCATCTCAGATACAGCACAAGGCAAACGCTAAGACCCTTCACAGGAAGGGCAGTGTGACATCTAAGACCTGAAAAGCACAAAGTGAAAGAGCAATTGAGTATAAGATGAGGTTCTTAGATGCTCTTCTCAAAGTAACTGCAATAAAGGGTTTGGCCAGCCTTTGTCCCCAGTCCCTAAGAAAGAGGTAACTTCCAGACCCTTAGAATTTCCCGAGTGATTCGAGTATCTGTGTTATTCCTGGCAGGGCCGCAAACCACACGATAGTCTCCACTGAGGAGACGACTCAGGGTGGGAGCTGGTCAGCCGGGAAGACCAACCGTGTGATTAGACGTTTGGGGCTTTGAACCACATGATATCAGTCTGACCTCCAGGGAATACAGGAGGCTGGTGGTTCGAGTTCCACCCCAAGTCCATCCTATCTATGTAGCAACCCAAGGAAGAACCCTGCATACAAAGCTCAGGTGAAATTCCTTCGGTGACGATACCTTTCTGAGCATTGTCATACCTCCATGCTGGGGGGCCATTCATCACTGAGGATGACAGAAGACTCAAGTTTAGAACCCTCCTGGCCTTTTCCCTCTGTGTCTCTTTTGGCTGGCTCTAATTTGTACCCTTCTGCCATAATAAAACTGTCATAAGGGAAGAAACGAGGCTAGAGAGACTGCAGGGACCCGACAAAGGCTGAGAGCCCCGAGATGCTCCAGATGTTTTTGTGGCAGGAAGGTGGCTTGCTTCTAAGGGTCACGCTGGAGACTGTGTGAAGACAGAACGGAAGGACCAAAGCAGACGTGGGAGATCAGTTAGGAGGCTACTGTTCGGGTGGCGGATCCTTAGACTAGGGTAGCCGCAGGGGAGTACACAGAAATTGGTACTAGAGATACTTAGGAGCTAAAAGGAACAGAAACTGGCACTAGATTAGTTATGAGGAGGTCAACAGCGAAAGGTTTGTATCCACAGACAAATGGACAATTGTTTCAGAGATACAGTTACAGGTTTTTACAATGTCATAATTGGCAATTGAAAACAGAGGATAGTTCATTTAAGCAAAGTGGTCTAGGGAAAAGCCATTTAGGGGTATTCCTTAAATATACTGTAAAATAATTAACTTGTTAGAAGGAGTATGGTGCTGAGGAATTTCCGGGTGCTTACAAGTGAACACCCTTGGACCTCTGAATAGTCATAGTCATCTAGTGCAAAGCTTTGCGATGGCCCTAAGACACCTCACCTTCTAACTATACTTCATCAGGTCTTTCCCTTTAAACATTGTTGGTCCTTTTCGATTTCCAAAACGATACAACCTAAATCAGTTTGTTTTTGTTTTGTTGTTTTACCTTACTCCATCCAGAGCACTGACTGGGAACACAGAAAGCTCTGGTTCAAGTCCCAACTCCATCACCACTTACAAGTAATAACCAAGTGGCCCCCGGCAAGCCACTCACCCTAACAGGACTCAGTTCCAAATCGACAAAACTAGGCCCAACTGCCATTTCCAGGTCTCCACCCTGCACCTCTGTAATGCCCTCCACTCCCCAACCGCCATCATCCTGAAGCCTAGGTAAGTCTCAGCTCCAGGACCACTTGCTCCGGCAAATCTAAGCTCTTCATCTTCCAAACGCCTTAATAAACTGTAACCACAGCTTTTCCCTCAAAGTCCTCTTGGTAGTGCATCCGTCACCGTCTTGTGATCTCCCCTCCACTGCTGATGCCAACTAGTTGAACTTTTTGTTTTTAACCTTAGGTAGGCCCCCTGAGGGCACCACCTGCATCTCATTTCTTTAAAAACAAAACAAAACAAAACAAAACAAAACAAAACAAACAAACCCAGTTCCCAAGAACTTACCCTGGACCAAGCACTAGGGATGCAAAGATTAAAACAAGGGTCCTTACTCCTAAGGAGCCCAAGATCCAGTGCGGAAGACAGACATAAGAAATTACAGATCAGTTTCAGAAACGCTGTACTGAATTAAGCACGTGTTACCAAAGGCAGGTGGACCTGACTTCGTGCTGTATCTTCAGGTGCTTAGTGACAGGAGGGGGAAAGAAAGGGAAAAAGGAAGGAGGAGCAGAAGAGAGATCATGAAAATAATTTAACTGTGAATCTCAATTGCCTGCATCACTTCAGGAGACTGGAGAGAGAGATGGCAAGTAATCCGATGCAGCTGAAAACTCAAATCACTAACAGCTGACCCTGAAAAGTAACTTATTTGTCTCTAGTAGAGGACTTACCTTACTAACTCGCTCTGTTTAAACTGGGGGGGGGGGCGGGGGAGGAGACGAATGGGGGACACAAGGGTGGCACGGAGACAATGGTGTGGATGGAAGGCTGGACACATGGACCGGAAGCGAGAGCGGTGGGCCAGTGATTGCAAGACGGAAGGCAAAGGGGGACGGCTGGGGACAGGTGGCAGTGCAGTCCCTGTGTCCACAGCCGCCAAGCCTAGCTGGAGGGGACAGGACTGCCACCCTCTCCGAGCCCCCGGGGCCTTAATGGGGTTAGAGGCCCGAAGCCTCCTCCGGTGGGGGTAACACTGGGGGGACGGCGTGGAGGGTTTTTCCCAAGCTGCGGAAAACAAGGACGTAAAACTGTGATCCACCTGAGCCGTGCAGGAAAATCAGAGAGGCGCTGTGCCTCCCGGCCGGCGACACCACGCACCGCTGCAGGCGAACTGGCCCGGACACAGCCGCCATAGCTACTGCCACGCCCCGAGTTTCGGGGCCCCGCCCCTGCGCCCTCCAGCGTGCCCGCGCACGTACGCACGCGGGGCGGGGGCGCGCCTGAAGCCGCGCGTGCGCAGAGGGATAGGTTCTCCTGCCTCTGAGTCAAGTTTGAAGCGTGAGGGTCTGTGGATGGTGCGAGATTTTGGTAAGAATGGTATTATACAGGTGACGAGTTCGGAAAGGGCAAGGAATATATTTATTTTTTGCTGTAGGGTTTTTAACTGCAATCCTGAAGTCAGGATTATTTTTTTGTTTGGAAAGTTGTTGGTGTCAATATGTTTAAAATTTAAGAGGTATCACCATATATATATTTTACTTTGGGGCTTGAACAAGATGTAACTTTTTATAGTCAGGATGCAGTCGCCATATTATAAGAACCCTTTGTATAGTTTTAAAAACTAGTTTAGAAAGCAAATCCAATTTAAAGAGGGACCATTTCACACCATTAAGATGACTATTGTTGAAAAAATGGAAAATAAATGTAGGCCCCGAAGGGGAAGACTTGGAACCGAACCCGTGCATTGTTGATGGGATTGTGAATGGTGTAGCAGCTATGACAGTAGTTTGGCAGTTCCTCGCAAAGTTAAACAGAATCACCATACGGTCCAGTCATCCTGCCTGGAGATGTAAATGCAAAAAAGCAAAAGCAAGGACCCAAACATGTATTTGTACACCGGCGTGGACAGCAGTGTTCGTCACAATAGCCAACCCAAACGTCCATCCACAGATTAATGGAAAACAAATGTTCCACAGACACACAATGGAATATTCAGCCTTAAAAAGGAATGAAATTTTCCTACATGCTACGGCACAGACGAACCTTGAAAACATTATGCTAAGTGAAGTAAGCCAGTCACGGAAGGACGAATATGGTATGATTCCACTTATGTGAGGTAGCCAGCACAGGCACATTGTAAAAGACTGGGAGTGGGGTAGCCGTTACCAAGGGCTGAGGGGAGGGAAGCATGGGGAGGTATTCTTCAATGGCTATCGTCACTGAACTGTATACTTAAAAATGGTCCAAATGGCTGATTTTATATCATGTCTGTATTATCATAATTAAAAAAGCACCCTCTCCTCCCCAAATGGCATTACTTTCTATATCAAGATATAACTGAGTTTAATACTGAGTGCTGTGGCCCTAGCAGGTGGCTCTGTCCTTACATAACATTCAGAAGCAGCCCAGTAGAGCTTTAAGTGCTATTAAACACTTGACTTCATTCACTTGTAGTCTGCATCATGTTTAAGCAATTACAACGTACCTTTTTTGTTAAAGGTAATCACCCTACTCACCAGCGGCTACACTGCTTATCCTCGTGGGTGGGTTGCCGGGATAAGCGCTAGGCTATCGCACTGGTGCGCTCGTGCTGTGGTGGTGAACAGCCCCACGTGCCATTAGTTAACCAGGTCAAGAAGGAGTTCCAAGTCCTGTCACCAAAACCTGCAGGTCTTGAGCTGAGAGTGCTGAGAGGGAAGGAGGGAGGACCAGCTGCGGCTGGGTTGAGCTCTGATGATCAATTCTCAGAAACATACTTCTGTCCCTAGACCTGCCTTCCCCACGTGAATCTCAGTACCTTTCAACAGCCAGGTGAGAGGCAGGCAGCGCTGTGCTAGGAGAGGCCCCACAGAGACCTGCCAGGTAAGGCTTTAAGTTTTACTCTTAGAACCCTATTTACTGCCAGAAAATGTTGCTGTGAATGACTCCGTGCTTTTGAGACAGCAAAAAAACAGAAATGGTGATTTAACAGTTATGAATATGATGGTTGTTAATAATAATAATAAGTAACTGATACTCATTGGACTTTCTAGGTGGCAAGCACCATCTTAACTCACTTCCCATAAAACTCTGGAGCAGTACTATCTGTTTTTGTCCGTGAGGCTCAGAGAGGTAAAGAACTTGACCTGGGGTCGCCCTGCCAGTCATTTGTGGAGTCTCGACTCACGTGGAGGGCCTATCGGACCCCAGAGTTCAGGTCCTTCATCGTGACCCACATTTACATGTTAGCTCACAAAAATAAGACCAGACGCGTCCCAACTATTTTGTTTACAAACAAAAAACGCGTCTCCTGGGATTTGAACGGTAACCCTTCAGCATCTCTGTTGAGAAGGAGTTCCTGTGTTTCTTCAGATGTTCCCAGTTCTCTTGCTGGTTTTCCCCTCCACCAAAGTGAGCACCAGTTGGAGGGGTACCTGAATGCGGGGATTCTGAGTTTTCACCTAGGACTTTTGCCTTCCCAGATTCAGGGTCATTATTAGAATCAGCCAGATTCTTCCAAACCTAATCAAAGTGCTCTTTTATTTCCAGTGATTTAAATGCTTAGCTATTGTTGCTATTCCTTTCATCTTTATTTATAGAACAAACAGAAGGTTTTAGATGACTATATTTAGAAATGCCATCTGGTAGGCAAACTATTGAACAAAAATGTTTTGTTCCTTTCATGTGACTGCATTACTTTGAAATGTAATTAAGTTTCAGGATGGTTGTTTGCTTCTTTTATGGTGGATCTCTTGCCCTATTGAACTCGGGGGAACATTATTTCTAAAAGATTTTTATTGGTACATTCTTTTATTCTTTGTGTATCTTTTAATTTTTGTTGTTACTCATTTGCTTTCAGCCAGTCTGTATGTCCATTATGGATACGTTCCTTTTTGGTAACTTCAGTGTCTAAACTAAAAGAATCAAGAAAACAAAATAAATGCAACAAAGAAAAAAGTCTCTCTTTTTGCAGAGGTTCAGTATCTATTGAGATCTAACTTTATAAATGTCAGGGTCACAGGTCAGAGTTAAGTTTGCTGTTCTACTACGTGTTTAGAAATCCTTTAGTGTACACTTGTTGGTTTTCAACAAAGGTTGAAAGATTAGCCATTTAAAGTACTATATTTGGTATTTTCAAATGGTTACAGTTAAGCGAAGTCACATTAGTCATGCAGACATTGCACATTATATATTTGTTGTTTTACTCATTTTTGAGCATCAAATGATACCCTCTCTATTGGTTGGTTTTATCTGTGACATTATCCAAAGTGACAGAGAAACACAGGCACATAAACAGCACATACACACTGGGTAAATGTCTCAGCATTGGGTAATTTTTAAGATTTTGTTATTTAACACTGTAAGTTTCTTTATACATTCCCCTTATCCATTTATGGAAAACAACTAGAAAAACACGCAAAGGTCCCGAGTTGTCGTGAAACAGAACTAAATTCTTTAGAAAGGCATTGTGAGGTGTGATTGTGAGCTTACACACCGCCACGGGGCCACAGTTCTGGGGATCTTAAGCGTTTCCCTGTTCTGGGCCCAAAGGCCCTCACGCCTGCTGCTGCAGCAGCGAGCAGGGCCGCACCACGCCCAGCATTTGTATATGCGGCTGCTCACTCGGCTGTTCATGTCCACTCCCGGCTCTCGTCCTATGGGTCTGAAAACAACCAGCAGGAATAAAGAGCTTTGATTTCATGCTGTCGCTGTGCTCAGTCCTTTGTAAGCCTTCTCTTACTTGACGGCAGACTAGGAGGGCGGTATGTGTGGGTAAAGAGAATATTCACTTAATTTTTTGCCCATATTCCCCACTGGTTTATATCTACATGGCCATTATAGAATACCTAATAGACCGTGTTTGAAAATATCACAAGCTACAGCTGTGTCAATAGGAAAAGTACGAGGGATGAACAGGCCATCCACTGAACAATTTACATTTTTAAAAAACACACTGAACATCAGCTTTTGGAACTGTGGTTGACAATCTCAACTTCTTGTTTCAATTTGCACCAGTGATGGTCTTTGAAAAACTGTTTATCTGTGTAATTTATTTCTCCCCTTTAACAATTTGTATATTCCTCTTGCTGACATTGAAGCCTAAATGGAAAAACATTCACAATATTTTGTTTATGAAGACAAGTGGGTTGACTGTAATAAAAATATTGGTTCACGTCTTGCTTCTCAGTGAGAAATGCCACCCATGAAGTCTGTTGGCACTTGAAGTATAATTTCAAGAAAGCCAGAAAAAGTACATATTTTACTTGCAGAAGTCTGAATGATTTATTTTTCTTAACAAAACATGTAAAATGCATCAATATTCAACGTAGGCTGAAAACAAGTTAATGGCAGTTTTTATCTAAACTATGTAAAACATCAAAAGGCCTTGCAGTATCTTAACATAGACTCTAAGACTGTATATTCTTTTCTACCCAGCGCAGACATAAAATTTAAAATCTAAAAAAAATTAAAGCATTAAAAAATAAACAGTGATCAGCTTGTATGAAGTTATTTTTAGAAGAGTAGATTCCCATATGCTATGTAGATTTAAATCTTCCCCATAAAGAACATTCTCTTTATGTCGGGTTTTTACACTGCGCAGGTGGACTGGAGAGATGAAAAAGAGTGTCCCACGGTTATTAAAACCATTGAATATGCTCACAGCTTCTCTCTCTTGCCACTCTCATTGGGGAGGAGCTCTGCGCAGGCACACGGCTAATATCTGGAAGCCACTGGGTGGAATAGCTACCACCAGCTTGTCGCTTGCTCAGGGAAGACGTCGTGGCCTGGCCGTGGAGAAGGCAGGTCCCGTGCACCTTTGCTGCATACACGGAGACTCGAATCTCATCGTTGTCTTTAAGCCGCCCTGCAGTCTGGCGAAAAGACCGGACCATTCATAACCGTGTTCTTTGTCTGCAAACAAACTTCCAGAATACATAAAAATCGCACTACCCATGAAACCTCTTGATTATTTCAGTTCACACAGGACGTGCTTTGCATGCTGACCCGTGGCCCTGGCCATAAACGCAAGGTGAATGTGTTTTTTCGCCCCCTGCAAGTTGTACTTTGGGTGAAGCACCAAGTTTCCCTCATAACATCATTAAGGGGACTTGTTCGGGTCTGCCTACGGGAGGGAAACACCGGGTGTGACACCGAGAGTTCAACCATATTCTTTGTGCATGAAACAGCAACCGCTGCTTAGCTCTGTTCCCCACGTCTCTGGGGCATTGCCGAGTGGCTCAGTCCAAGAAGCTTCTCTCGGGATTTC